TGGAGAGTATTTAAGCGACCGACCTCTCTGAGCAGTTTCAAGTGTTGTCTCCAATCAACACTGGGCGGTGTCGGAGCAGTATCTTAATAAACTGGTTTCGGAGTGCGATCTTTCTTTTGTTCCCTCCGTTAAATATACAATGCCGGCCAAAAGTTTTTGAACACTACTAATAATTTCAAATTTGTGATGAAAATAGTTTGAAATTGTAATAATATACATGTACATTGTGGTCATTGGCTATCATATTATCCACATATCTTACGCCAAAAATACATATAATTACAATAAAATGAAACATTTTAACCTAAAAAATAAATGTTATACTGACTTTTCATACACCCCCCCCCTTGCTTGAATTACTCTCTTAACGGTTCTTGGTATCCTTTTTCAAGAGTTTCTCACAAGCAACAGCTTCAATGAATTAATTTACAGAACCTGTTCGAGGTATTTTTCAATTCTCAACCCCTATGAACCACAAAACGTAGTGTACCTACAGTCCGAACTCTGTGGTACAAGACAGCAAACTGTGGCTTTCCCAGCCTCGTAACATTTTTCATCAATGAGTACTCTTGAGTGGGGATATAAAGACCCGTACGTAACACAAGATAGATCGAGACAAAGACCCTACTTCAGTGCCCGGGGTTTCAGTGTCTCTATCAAGGAAATAATTATATGCGTCGTCATTGCCAACAATATTATTAATATTGTTAATATTGTTGGCATTAAAAATATATTTGGCAATGACGACGCAAATAATTATTTCATTAGAAATGCCAACGATAACTCACCGCAATACCTATATTCTCTATCAAGCCCAAATACAGCGCGCCGAGAAAAATACTTTCACAGGAGTCCAAAAACTTTTGCCCGGCAGTGTACGACATACTCGTAAATGAACTACACGCACTATCCCACACATATCGAGAGACCAACCAGAACCTTAGAGCTTGCCCCCGCTGGGAAAGATACCTGGCGGAGTGAGGCACGCTCGTAAAACCGTGTAGGTCGGCGGCGAATCTCGGGTTCCAGCGGGGAGGTACTCCGACACCTCCCGGGATATAACACTCACGGAACTATGCGCCTCAAAGCACTAAACACTCACCCCCATAGACGCGCAGAGGGTGGCAAAACAACGGAGATTCAAATTAATTGGGTGCAATGTAACAAAATGGCCATGCCTCGACCGGGAGAGGTGGCATATGGCATCAACCGATGACACTGCAGTGCCTCTGACCGGGAGGTCCTAGGTTCGAGGCAGGATTGTCGACACTTGCTTGTCAGTTAGGTCGAATTCAGTCGCTGTCTAGAGAAGGATCCTAGCGGCCGGCTGCTCTAATCGGTAGTTTTCCGTGGTTTCTCCGATCAACACCAGGCGAATGTTTGAGCAGTGGCTCTAGCAAACAGGTGCGCGATCTTCACTTCTTCCTTGGCGTTTCCTCACCCCTTACACTCGCACGCACTACACTTCCGAAAATACCGGGAGGCCGATCTGATTCGTAGCTTCGAGCTTATCGGTGCCAGCGGTTGGGAGATACCGCTAGCCGACGGTATGTCGGCGCCCGATTGCCACCTCCCGAGAGAAGATGCAATTGCACCCACTAAATTATTTTTAACTGCTTAGTAATTCAAAGGTCTCAGACGACCCGTCACCTTACATCGTTTCATATCAATTTGCTAATAATATATTCCTACCAAATCGCATCGTTCAGGGATAAGAGCCTTCCGTTCAGGACACCGGAAAATATTTTTCATTTTTATTAAACGAATTAAAAAAAAGAAGCTTTAACAGTGCTTTCATAAGCCAGTTACAAAAAAGGGGTCAATGGCATCTAGACACAAGCCTTACCCAGGTTGCACCTAATGACAGACAAATACGACAAATCGTGGAATATAAAACACTTGGAGTCTGAGAGAAAAAACACTTTTATGTTGTTGTTTCAACCTGGGACGTGAATTATTCTCAAGCGTTTTACCATGCTGTTATCACTCCGTTGCGAAAAAAACGAAACAGGTAGCGCGACGACATATTTACAATCGGCACCAGATTCGCAATTTTTAACTGAAATGTGAACAGGAAATTAAGGGACGTGGTAAATGTTCAACAATAATATAGTAGGGCTATTTCTTTATAACAGTTGATAAATTAATCAAATGTATGGAAATGGATATATTTATTCATACGTAGATGTAGGTGAATATTAAGTTTTTATGAAAAACGTAAAGAAGGTAAGGGAACCTAATATTTTGTCCGTTTTCTACTGGTACTATCCATGCCCACTTTTTCAAATAGCCCCATTATTATTAGGGTTAACAAAACAACTTTGCTTAGAATTAATCTTACATAAAAGCGCAAGACTATTACATATAGTTTTAATGCTTCTTTGCGATCACATTTATAAGTCCATGTATTTTTATGACTTTTATACACCCCAAAGGGAAGTGGTGTCCTAAACTTTCTCCGTGGGTGCAATAGTCACAAAATGTAGAGAGGTACAGAGGGGGGGGCTGGATGAAACGAGTGCGGCGTTAGGGTCCCCACTTTCCTTCCCCTTCCTTGTACCTTGATCTATTTTTACACTCCTTACTTAAACTACCACACGTCGTGTGTTTAGGGCCTGTCCCGGCTGTGGGAAAACCCTGTAAGTGGACGAGTAGGTCGTCGCTAGATCTCACCACCCAGCTGGGATCACAACCACCTCCGCACATACACTACTAGCCGTTTTCGCGTCCGGTCACACCAATCAATCAAAGCGAGTACTCACGTGTGCTGCACCCACCTGCTGCGCTGCCTCGGCCAGGCGACACGACGCGGCGCGGTTCCCCGACCGACCGTGCTATCTGTTCGCACTCGCGCCCTCCCCTCACATGCGCTCGCGTGTTCTCTCCGCATGCACTCCCGCTCGCGTACGCCACGGGGCGGAACACTTTCTCGAGCCACCGCGGGGGGCGCGCCCATCGCCATCCTTATCTAACGTCATGTAGCACTGTTGGATCGGATCGCTCGTCCGCCTGCTTTATGTTAAAAGCACACGTTTTCTTGGACCCCGGTATACCTACCCTTTTACCAACATTGTTTGAATGAATAATAAATGATCGCAAGGAGCGTTGTATACGAAATCTGAAAGCCAGAAATGTTCGCTCCCGTGTGAAAGCAACTATTTTCCATCTAAAAACGAGCTACAACGATGATATAATAATGCTTTTGCCAAAATAGCCAAAAGAAACCGTTCCTCTCTCAACTAGAAAAAGGAAGATTCGCCGCTGACAATACTTACTCCAATAAAAACGTAGGGGGGGGGGGGATTCATAGCGATCACTTCGGATGGAATACAAACGGGAGCTTCGTTACAATTTAATTTCTTATTTTAAAGCTCCCGAGGGGATAACCTCCCAACAGATGAAGCCAATTCGCTCTCAATTTTATCAGAGTATTAACGCACCACAAAGATTCCGAATTTGCAGACTTACTCGAGCGATACCCCGGCGTTCATAAATTCTATCATATGACATCATCCCGAGATTTATCTCTATACATATTAAACTTTTGATAATGGTTTTGTATCGCAACTTAAAGAAATGACTTACATCTATATTAATAAGGTCCATTCAATCTGATGGCATCAACGAATATTATGAATATATTACTATTATTTTGGAATATTAACTTAATAGCTGGTTTTATTGAAGACACCGGTCAAGTTCCTCGTGTATTTTCTGCGCACATTTTATTGGGCCCTCGCTTCAGTAGTTACGAGAGTGGGGAGTCAGGTTATTTTGACTAAAGAAATTTTATATCAAATGGAGTAGTTTGTTTTTCCATGCAAAATAGTTTCTATTTACATTACAACATTACCGGTTATCAGATTTTGTCTGCAACGCTCGTTGCTATTATTTATTCTTAATTCAACTGATGTTCTTAAAGAAGTGGGGATAGATATTACGGGGCTCAAGAAAACGTGCGCTTATAATACTACAGCATAGCTCAACACCCTCAAAAATCAACATTGAGAATCGATAGTATCAATAAAATAAATTAAGCATAGTTTTGATTTAAAACATTGCGAGTGGATACAAATAACATGTCGCCATTAAATGATTAGAGTTACCAGTTTCTACAAATTTCAGCTTGGTTTCTGATTTTCTTTTAGAAATGAAACAACCCAAAAGTTATCTAAAATAAAAAACGAATTAAATAATAAATCTTGTACTTGTCAACTCTAGTAAGAACATATTTACCTACTCGTACTGTGAAAGGGGCAATACGCCAAAGAGTTGTTCTAACATAACGCCAACGGTTCTTTCATAAGTAAACCGTCAAGTCAAAGAGACATGTCCGGGTGGGTCTCGCGCAGTAAAGGGAAGCGTCCCTCATTTTAACACTCACGTTAGTGGTTTGGTGCTAGAGCAATGCGGAAAACCTCTTTCTTCGAGGTTTATTTGGAACACAATCCGCCCATGGGTATGGCACACTCGCAGAGCAACTGTCACCCATATATGCGAATTTTCACGAGCTCTAGTCGTTACCGCCATTCGTCGAGAAGAAGCTTTGCGTAAATGTTTACATTTCGATGTGAATTGCAACTCTATTAGCTTAGAAAAGGAGCTACAGGTGCCCTGCATTCCAAATAACCCCCTCCTTCTCCTCTGGCGTCTAGCGAAATGATAGCTCATGAAAACGCGCTGCTCATACCAAATATAACAGCCAATCATCCCACGAGTCTGGTTAAGGTGGTACATCCGGCAATAAAACTTCTCGCGCATGTGTACTGATCATTTCTAAGCATTTGTCATGATAGCCAAAGACTATTAAAAAAATATCTTTGACTTTTACGGAAATATTCAAAGCCCAAGTTTGCGGAGTGTATAAAATGCCTCTAAATTTCAAAAAGGAAAAAAGGATTTGTGGGGGCTGAAACACAAAACGGGAGACATTCACCAAATCAAAAACAGGATAGGTTTCTTCCATTTCATCCATCACAACTTACTGCAAAAAACACACATATACCAAATGTAACTGTATTTATGAAAAGTGATACATCACACAGCTTACACTAAAGAAGTGGATAAATTATATGCTATTACCATAATTAATAATTCTACACTCTGCTAATCTTGTGAAATAACCACTAAAACAACAGGCTAATTGGTTGTTATACAAAGTCAACATTTGTACTTTTAAACGAGTCCAAACTTTAGCAGAGTGCAGTCAGGGGCAGTGGACATGCCTTGCAAAAGAGGCACCTGGCCACTACCAGTTGCGGCTCCATTGGGAGCCAAGTTCACAAAACATCAAATAATTTCTAAATTAGCTGTCAGATCTGGGACAACGCATTTTTCATGATTAAAATGTGCTTTCTGACAATTTTTCACTGATACATATCGTGCTATCGAAACTTACAAATTAAGATAGTGATTATGATATATCTGTGGAAATTTAAAATGTACAAGTGCTACAAAAAATGCATGAATTTCAAATATTTGACAAAGACAAGTTTGCATTGAGATCCATGTCACACCTAATCACTGGCAGCTTGTATGTTTGACAGTCTATGCCAGGTCCAAGAGCTCTACATACTGGAGTCAAACATGCAGCATAAGGCACCATATCCTTGTACCATGTTCATTACACTTAGCCCTCTAACTAGAAAGAACGTGCCTTCAATTTTCCATTTTGCTAACTTGCTTTGAGTGAGTGGCGCAGCTGAAGGGAACAAGGCTAGGGAGGCCCTCTAGGGAAAGAAATAAAACAAATCAGACATTGCAGCACTTGGAGCCCAAAATATAGCTTATCTCTAGAGCTCTCCCAAGTGCCAGACCAGACAAAAAATTATGTATAAAATATATATATTTCACTAGAAAAAATAAACCTTGAAACATGAGTACTCAGCAAACTGAAAAGACCAACACTTGGAGATTGAGTTTTCAAAGCCAAAATAAAATATAAACTACTATGGTAATGATCAGGTATTAACATCAAACTAGTGCATTTTACTTGTGGATGTGTCGTCAGAAAATTTACTATATTAATATTGTAAAACAAACTACTCATGGGACATACTCCCGCCATGTACAAAGCCCTCAAATCCCCAGCTACTCCACTACATTCTTTAATATTTTAAAATTCCATGCAGACGAACTGCAACGATACCAAATTACATCCATACTTTGGCTACTTAAAATATGATATGTAGAATGTACCAAGTCAGTTAAAAACACTAAAGACAAACAAATGCTCCCTCTCGCCACAGATATATCATTAAAGAACGCCCACCCACACTCTTTCAATGATAGACCATTGTTCTATACACATACTTAGCTCAATGAAGAGCCAAAGAGGTTTACCTAGCACTGAAATGAAACATAACCTGGCCTTTTGGTCATTCTACTGGACATCGCGACCGAGAGAACAGGGCGGGCGTCCGCGGGAAGCCAAAGATCAACGCACTCATGGGCCCCATTATACTCCTCTGAGGCAATTTTTTTTATTGGAGAGAAACTGTAAGGTGAAAGGGAAGCCATTCGCAAAAAATTCCAAGTAATATCAGACATAACGTACATTGACAGCCATACGAAAGGTTGAAACAGGACTACAATCAGCAGTTCTGTTAGCTACACACCCTACAGAAAGTACAACACACTTTCTTGCCAGGTTTAATCCTATAGTAAATGACCATTTATATCTATTGCACTAACGCTATCTCTTACCTCAAATAAAATCTTACAGCATAGCTGTAATAAACCACGGATCAAAAACTGACTATACTGCTTTACATTTAGAACTGCCTAGCCAATGGTCATGAAAATATGAAGGAGCCTACAAGCGAATTTAAGAGCAGTAAAGATACATGGGAGAAACAAACAGGAGTCACAGAACCGTCTCCTGCTTTAGGTCCTTTCGCACTTCTCCAAGATACGAGAGGACTACCGAGTGAGCCGCAACACTGCCGCGCCGGATCGCACAAAGGATGATTCTTCGGATGCATCACGCTCGGCCGAGGCTTCCCGCAAGAGCGAAAAAATCCCGACCGGCAATATACGGCGGCGAGCGATGGAGACTGGCGGACGAACGGCGGCTTAATACGGAGCATAGCGACGGGGGGACACAGCACCACGAGCACCCGGTCTACCACAGAGCAAAGCAGAATTAGAGCACCCTCGCAAGGGGCAGCTGCACTTAAACATACCACACAGCGTAGCGGTCTGACAATCGCACTAGATTCTACACACAAGTGGGAAGGCATATTCCATCTTTGTAAACCACATGCAATGAAACCTGCAGATACTTTCTCATTAAACATCAGCGCTAATTTAAAAGATTAAGCATCTTTCACTCTATGAGAGAAGTAAATTTATTCAGGAGTTCCAAGTTTGCTTAAACTTATTATCAACACAAAATTGATTCATACATTTACATTATCCTAGAGATCAACACTAAACAAAAAACCATGAATATTTCAAATCATTTAATCATTCACATCAATTAATATCAACAAAAATTAAAATAATATTAGTGTAATATTGGGTCTCAAGATTAGTAAGATTTTGAACTTCCCTAATACAAACTTTCAATACTATCGCAACTGGGTGCATGAGAAAGTAAAATGCAGGAAGAGATTTAAATAGAATATAAGAAAAGAAATTAGGTTTAGAAACAATTGCCAAAATATTTTATATGGCTGGCATTTTTCTGCAATATATAGCCACAATTTACATAAAATAAATAAAATATGTCTTCTCCTTTCTCAAATCATTTTGAAATTATTCAGATGATACTACAGTGATAGGGGAAACTAAATACATAATAAATTCACAATTTACCAAGGACATACATTAAACTGAATTTGTGGCAAACAGCATTAAAGTAGGTAGTCTGACATCATGCAAGACTGCACAATTGGTTATACCTGCATCACACTTGTCAAAGTAAGTACATTAGATCAACATGTTAGCAGCTGTAGAATGAATTTGATGCAACAGAAGTTGTTAAGTGTAATGGCACTGAGCCAGGGAGTCTGGATATTCAAACAAAAAGAAAAAGGAAAAGCCAATTAGAAAACATTTATACATGTTTAGACCTAACTCACCTTCTATCATCAAAACTGTCTCGGCTGAAGTCCTCAAACAGCCGGCTACAACATGAAACAGTAGCTTTAAGCATCAACACGCAAGTGCAGGTGCTACTTGCTCCCTCTCTCGAGAAATTACTCTTTCAAAGATTGACCAAATGCCAATAAAATTAGGGATGGCCAACATTAAGCAGTCACTCCTGTTCATTCACCCATCCTCCCACACTTCTCAAAAATTCAAGCAATTTGAAGTCTCCTCTCACTTCAGATTCTCCCCGAGCCCAATTTCTTAGCATGTAAAATAAAATAAAAAATTGTTTAATAGCAAATTAAAACACCTATTCAGATCACTAATTAATGTAGCATGTCCACTGTCAATACAGCAAAGATGGCCATCCCCACAACAAAATACCCTAAACACCCTTCTGAGCCAAAAATTTACCTCTATCAAGACAAAATGAATGAGAATGAAAATTCACAAATTCTTGACTTGTGAAAAAGGAATCGATACAATCATAACCAGGTTGAGATGTACTCATTAAAGATGTATTTGTTAGTATCACATAGTAAAACACATGACAAATCAGTATTACAACACACCACAGCTATTAATTTAATATACAACAGATTGAAATACACAGTTATTAATTCAAGTACACATTGTGAAACTTCATTCACATTCTACTGTAAGCAAAGAGTCAAGTTATGGCTTATGTCAGTTAAGCCTGTAGTACATACAAGAGACTGGAACTTCACGTCAACATTAGTACAGCATCAAATGCATTCTACAAGACATACAATGAAACACAAATAATGATACTATGTTCCAATATGGAATTCTTTTATTGTAGTACCCCTCAAGTCCTTACAATTACATTCGTCTCATCATCATTTAAGTAAAACCTGTCACGAGGGCACTAAAATAATGAAGATGGAATTGTCATCATCAAGACTGTACAAAAATCTAGCAACAGTAGAAACTGCAAGATGTGTTCTATAATAATATTTAAAAAATTCTGGTAAACTTAAAAAATGAAAAGTAACCACACAAGACCTGATCAAAGTGACAGATTTTACCTGTATAAACATGTCACAACACATCTAACATGTTAGTCCAAGCGAAACCCACGCCTGCTCATCCTTACCTAAACCGGCTGGGAGGGACTGCGGAAGAGGTTGGTGAGCGCCGGCTGAACATGGAGTAGTCTGCGTTGGAGCGATCAAAAGCAGGCGAATCACGCAGGGCGCTCGAGGGGCCACGCAGCCCCATGGGTGGGGGCGGGAGGGGTTCGCGTGGGCGCGGCAGAGGAGGAGGCGGGGGCAGAAATTCCCGCCCGCGCAGGGAGGGACCCATGTCACGTGGCGGAATTGGAGGGAAGCGCCGGTCAAAGGCGTCACGAGGACCATCCTCGAAGCGATTCCGGTCAAAATAGGAATCATAAAAGGAGTCCTGAAACAGCAAAGACGTCTTTATCAGTGGTGTAAATTTCTCTAATTTCTCCATTCGCTCTTACTTGAGATATTTCTTGGCACTTGATTCTACAAACTCCATAGAAATGAAATTATAGCATCCACTTACTTTTGCTTAGTTAAGGTGACGACATGCAAAGACTGATTTATATGCACCTTATTAATTCAAAGAAAAGAAAAAGTGCCAGCGATTCTAGAACTGAAAGGAATTCATCCAAACTGATAACATTTTTTTAATTTTCATATTTTTTTTACGTTCAACTTTGATTCCATTTTTTTCCAAAAGAAGGTGTGACAATTTAATCATTTGCACACCACAATGCTTTTGTAGTTGTGACCTAATTCTTTTTGCTCACAAGCAACATGCCAGAAAAACTAAACTAAGAGCGAAGAGTGTGTTCAACTTTGCACAGGATACTCTGAGTATTGAATGTTACATTTGTGGTTTTCATTGATTATTCATATATTAACCTTAATCAAGTCTATGACAAACAAATAATATATAAGGATCTAATCAAAGACTTCCATGTATTTATAATGCTAAGAAATGGAACTAAGGTTACAATGAGTTCAGTAGTCAAAAAGTAAAATAAATTAGTAGTAAATTAGTAAAGTAAATTTACGTCTTTTAGCACTGGAAAGCCTTTGTATACTTGGCAAAACATATTTTATTCAACATTCACTTCCAATTCTCAACATTTAAGTTTTACCACGGCGCAAACAGTAATGCAAGCAACAGGTTAATGTTTGACACCAGTGGACAATGTGTCAATAAAACAGACAACCATGATACAGGTAGCTGCCTTCAAGACTCTTAAGGTCGGCAATCTGACCTATTTCTTCAAAATCTTTAAATTCCCTCAGAAAAATTTTGGATTACATGCAAAATTTGAAATTGTTACAAAGCCTTCCCTCCAAACTCCACTGATTCATTACTGATATCCTCCTATAAGCGAGATATTTTAAAATTCAAACCATTAAAACACAATACACAATATTTATAACAATTTCCCATCATTCAATAATTATTGCTTTCAAACACTTCAAAGAGTGCAATGTAGTGCTTTTTGCTATGAACAATGTGGAGCTATTAGCAAACCTGTAATTTATCTGCACTTGTGCAAGATTACGATTCACTAATTCATCACATATTACAATTATCAAACGAGGGAAAATAGATGTCTGAACATTCCAAGGCAACATGCAAGGCAAGCATTCAACTTCCAAAGGAGCACCCTGAAAGTCTCCATTCAAAATGAATTACTTGATCTTACATTTTGAATAGTTCTTATTACATCATATTTTAAAAATCAATCTTCCCAGAAAAATTTCAATTAATTCTTCTTTGAATCCTGCATGTTGTATCAGAAACTCATTTAAAAATTAAAAACAACCTTTATTGTTTTAAAAATCTAAAACAAACTATTTATTAAAACAAAGTATTTACTGAAGTACTAAGATGCAACCCTCACTCTACCCAAATTAAATTCATGAAATCTCCTCTTTCTGACTTTAAACTTTACTGAAATTAGAAAGCATAAATGACATCGCACTTTTAAAAATATGCAACATGTTTGTATCCTAACCAATCTCTCAAAGTGAATACTGAAAGTAGCAAGAAGGAAGAGAGTAGGGAGAAGGAACTACCAACTAAAATATCTTACACCAAATCTCCCCATCATGCGGTCCCGCAGGAAAGGTGGTGGTGGAGGCGGAGGGTACGGCTCCCTTCCGAAGATCCTATCACGGAATCCATTTCTATCCGGACCTACACCCATCCTGCAATAGAAAGAAACAAAACAATGAGTAACTCACCTGCAACTTGCGTGACCACAGGTGAAAAGAAAAAAAAAAAAAAAGAAAAATCCTACAACTTTTCTGCAGAAGCATTTAGTACTTCGCAATTCCAAACTTAGCACTCTGTGGCTAGAAAATGTCAAAAAAATTTACAAATATTAACACTAACGCTGCAATAACAAAACACTAACCCAATTTTTGGGCATTCCTTTGACCAATGACCTCCTCTTCCACATCTGCAACAAAAATGCACAAGCTACACATAAGTAAGGAGCTTTCCTTTCGTAATTACGAATATAAATCAGCATGTGTAACAAATTTGTTTGTTTCTGCTTTTGTTGTTGTTTTTAAGTAAAATGTACTACAAAGTCACGGACCTGTAGCATTGTTCAGGATCACCCATTCCAGGTCGTTGGCGCACCCTGCTAGTTGAAAGCTGAACTTTCATAGGCTGTCCATCGACGACAAAGCCATTTAATTCTTTAATGGCCAAATCAACGTTATCCGATGACTCAATATGCTAAAGAAAAAAGGGTTTTGATTCAATCTCTTTAAAATTTACATTTGTTTACATACTGAATATAAACTTTTCATATACTTACGACAAATCCATAGTTTCGCACTATATCGCATTCAAGAACAGTGCCGTATTTTGCAAATAACGCTCTCACTTGAGGTGCCTTAGTATTATCAGTCAAATTCCCCACAAATATCTTCGTGGTTGGTGTCTGAGGACCCTTTCGACTTGTTGCTGCTTCTACTTTGATAGCTTGTCCATGCACAAGATAACCGTTCAGATTCTGTATAGCATCACGGCCTGCTTCTTCATGCTCCATGTGCTGCAATATTCATGCAGTATCACTCAATTACTACTTTGACAAGATTAAGAGAGTTAATTAAATAAAAAACTGAACTTACCACAAATCCATAGTTTTTGACCACATCACATTCAACAACTTTTCCATACTTTTCAAACAGTGGTTTAATATCTTCCGTTGTTGTTTTGTCGGCTAAATTGCCAACAAATATTTTGAAAGTACCCACACTACTGAATCCAGGCATAATTACCTACAAAAGAAATGCCATGTGAATTAAATGTTGTGGATGGCTCGACTAGTGCAAATTTCGTACGGAATATAATTTCACGGGATTTTTCTACACCACAAAAACCAATAAGCTGTTACTAACTACTTAAGTTCTCCCTTTTATGATTTATTTTTATATTTTCGTGCGATTCTCTCCTTCAGCTAGGTACCATTAAGCTTTGAACCAACCCAAAGATAGGATTGATTATTCGATCTCGTATGTAAACCGGCACGAGCATCTGCTAGTTTGTGCAGGAAGCGGGAAGTAAATTGAATTTTCAAGAATGCTCTAATGTTTTGCTCGAGAGAGTAGCGCAGATACCCCGTCGATAAGTTTTAACGGCAAATATACACTTAAACAAATACGCATTAACATTTAGCCCAAGCCGAGCCCAAACAAAACCTCGATTGTTCATTTTAGACTAAAAAAGAGGTTTACCGCTTCTTACGCACTCCAAACGCACAGACACATACTTCGGAAGATTAACGTAACTCTTTAAATGTATCAAGAAGAAATAAATATACAAATATATACAATAAAACTTACAACTTGAGGTCCTCTCCCGTAATGGCGTGCCCTCGCTCCTCGACGAGCCGGTCAGAGATGGCGTTGGACAATGGCGGAATGATTCATAACATAGACCTCATTCCCCTTTTTTACCATTTTCAACGATATTACACTTTGATATTAACTAATTTAAAAATTATTTTTTACCTACAAAGCTATTGCTACTTTCTTTATTCAGTTAACAACAATTTTTTAATATTCTTTCGAAAATGAGAAGTTCCTGTCCAGTGCTTTGCGTTGATTGGCTGAAGCATACAAGCATAAGGGCATTGCCTTCCTTGCACTTGAACTTCATTAGGATTGCAAGAACGTGGCGCCTCATGCGTCTATCAATTCAATAATCTCCCGTTAATCACTTAATTTTTACCAAAATAAAATAGCGAATACTTAATAATATCAAGGTTTACCGGCATATCACATGCCTTCTGCCCATTCAATTTCGCAAGAGTCATCATACTATCGACTTCCAAGAATTTTCCAGGCTTACCGTGCGGGAAGAAATCGGGCCAATTGCCACTCAGATCTTTACGCGTCTGGCATACGTCAGGGAAATTGGGGATTTATAGAGGATATTTGAAGGTTCAATAATTCATTTCCTTGAAGACTTTTTGTTTTATTTCAGTCACCAAAATATATCATACATATATTCCATTACTTATTCTTTTAACAATGTTAAATTGACACATTTTCTTCCTCCCAGTTCTTAGGCTAGAGTAATTAACTGCTAACTAACCAAACATATGCTGTGGCGGTACTGATGAAAAACAAAGCTAAAAAGCACAGCCAAAACTGACGATCTTATATTTAAAAACTGTACTGAAGAATTCAGCAGCATGTTTCTAGGCAGAAAAGCTCCAAAGGCTGAAAGATCTTTCCAAACTGTAACAAAAAGTAATTTCTAAACATGGAATGTTTCAAAATTCATAGTAAAGCTGCTAGATAGTACATTCTTGACAATAACCACCAACCTGAGGTGGATTCTTGCACGGAAACTCAATGCTTGGCTCTCCTAGAAGTAAATGTACAAGATACTACTGGAAAACTAGGACTGAATTACATCCACATCCACCAACTCGTTTGTGGTTTTGTCAGTAAATTCACTTGTCCACTCCCACAAGAGCTGCAAAACAGCTACAAGTTTTTGAGTACAAAATCGAGCTGAGAGCTTGATAATAGTCTGAAATAAAATTTTAGTGATTAGAGTTCTTTTCAATCTGTACTGGATACTGATTTACTCCCTCACAATTTATAAACCCTAGTCTGTCTAATTAAAGCATGCGTTAATATCAGGTTTGTACACTTTTGAGCTCACATACCTCGATCCACTTCATTCGGTATGTATAGACACTACTGAAGGTGTTCTTGTGAACTCACTGCTCACTCATTAATTCAAAGACTGACCCTCATCAAGTATTAAAAACTGTTAGCTGTACCTTTAGAAACAAAGAAATGAATATAATTAGCTCACTTTTCAATGCAACATAAAATTCACAAAAGGTTACCTCCAAACACTGGCTGAAATAAACTAAACCCTTCCGACTACTTTACCATCTTTATTATGTACCCCAATACTCTCTACAATTAAACTGAATATTGCTATGTACATCGCTGTATACAACATTCTAAAGCATTCAGTAACTGAATATAAGCCCTTTCAACATTGCCTACAGCCCAATGGCATCTCTGGGACGAATAGAAAGAATTCAACTAGACCAACCATAATTTCCCAATAAAGGATCTATTTTTCATAAACCATACCTTCATAATGGTCCCGGTAGTTTACATATGAAGTTTACCAAAAGCCCATGCATTCTTTAAATTTTCCTGCACTCTTATACATGCAACTACAGAACGTATTTCTAGAAATCGACAAATCATGAACAAAATATGAATTCTGATGAATTTGTTTCTTTTATAGAGTAGTTAAACGAAACACTTTTCCCCTCCCATTTCAGGAATATTTAGACCAAAAAGCGAGTTTTCTACCCTTTTGTACATTTTTCATACTTTCCTTGAACAAGAAGTATATAGAACTTAAAATATATTTATTTTGGAAACATTCATTCAAATATATAATCTTGCAAAATATAAACTTCACATTCCACTTGTGTAAAGTATATGCCAAGCAACGTAAATTCCTTTTGTCCACAATTTTCAAGGAATCCTAATCTACTTCAGTGCTTATTCTAGTATTTTTTCAATTTTCAAAAATTTTGTAACCTTTTGAGGCAGCAAATTGTTCCAAAATATAGTTTCAAAAAAACTTATGCAAATTTTACAAAAACAAAAGATTACTTCTCTTAATTGCATTCTCTTTTTCTACAGCTGTAAAACAAAACAAATCTATTGCATGTCTAATGCAACAGCTTTGCAGCAAAAATAACCCTGGACAAGTTTCATTATACCCTACTATTCAATAGGCTTTATTTGTCCAAGATTACAACTATTTCAAGGCTATTTCATTTAACTGAGTGTTTTGTAGTCTCTTTAAAACAGGTTCCACGATCTCTTAATACAACTCCCATTAATTTTTATTAAAATTAATTTTTGCCATTACTAGAGCAATACATTTGTTTTGTAAAACACCACTGATTTTAGTTACAAAAATGAAGATTAATTTCAGGATTCAATACTACGTGAAATGAGAAAACTTGTAAAATGTACAATTCAATGTTATTAAATTTTGTAAATTTTACCAAGTGAAGATAAAAAGCTGGTCTACGAATAAAGAAAAATATTCGCATCACATGCAATTTTTATTATATTACAGCTCAACAGACCAATTTCCAACGAAAAATAATCATAAGCATCAGATATGAAATGGAATTTGACATGAAAATTTTTAGTGAAAATTCGGTGTCTCTGGCAGATCTATATCTAAAATCTGATGTAACCTCTAATTAGCAATTCTAATTATGTAGGTAAAAAAAAAAAAAAAAAACATTCCAGGTGTATACAACTTTAAAATCATTAATCATAGCTTTGTGATAAAAAATCAAGTTAGATATTTTATTCATCAAAATTCACAAATTGAACAACATATGGATTCCAACTAATTTAAATTTAGTTAAAGATGGGAAATGATTACATTTTCACTGCATCACCTAAATGTTCTAAACTTCTACCACTCAGAATCCCAGACTTTTCCAGGTATTTCAAATTTCCTATTCCTTGCACAAATTTGTCCGTCTATAACCCATCCATACTAAACTTGGCAAAATTGTAGCGATTAAAAAGCAGTACACAAGATGACCTTCAAAATACAAACCACCATAATATATAAATTAAGTTTCGTTAATTATTTTATTCAGATCACTCGGCCTGAATAGTGTTCCTTCAAGCAAACTGAAATTTACATGTTACTCCAACACACATTTGAGCAGAAATCTGATCTCACTACAATAATTGTAAGCATAAATAATTTTGTAAGAAGGCAACTGCTTCTGCCCAGCATGTCATATTATATCCCACTGGCTACAAGAAATAAATGTTTGTGAAGAGCCTTTTTTCATAACGGAGCAAGTCAAATTAAATATCATGAAACATTCAACAAAGAGATATCTTAACACACTTTCAGTCTCATGGGTATTTCCAACTGCATTTTACAAAATATTTAGACAAGATTCTTATGTGTCACTGCGATAAGCCATAAACAAAGTTAAACAATAAATAAAACAAAGTGAAGAAAGTTTCCACTTTTCTCTTTAAACAAATCAATACTCCAAAAGACACCCATGAAAAATCTAGCCCCCAATAGCTTTGTAGCAGAATTTTTTTCTTCTTGAACTAAGGAAGAGAAACACGCCTTTCACATTTGGACATCACTTTATATTATTTAACTGATAAGTTTTGTTAAATTTGAATTACTCTTGTCAGTTTCATCCTAAAGATGCCATTTCATCTACGTAATAGTCCTCCATGTTGGTCCTAAATATCCAAATGTTTTCAAGAAATTTATTAACATTAATGTCCCCAAACCGAATAAAACATAGGACCAATTAATAATAAATGTTTGACCTGTCGTATGTCCTGTTTTTCAGAAGTCTTCCATGGAATCATGACCTGCTGATCATACAAACATGCAATTTTTTATCTTCAATTATGAAAATTCTACTTGCTTCTCAATCAAATCACTAAGTGAAGACTATATACAGATGTCCACATATTGGTAGTACAACTGAGAGATTAGGACAGTTCTTACAGGATACCAACTTGTTTAGTCAAATCTAACATCAATTATGTCATTTACATGATGCATTAAACATATATGATGGATTTTCTGCTGAGCACCTTTTCAGTAGGAACATCAACACCTGAAGAGAAGGTAAACAGTAAATGTGCTGTACATACCATAAAACAAAATTCCTAAATAAAGTGAACTGTCAATGTTCATACATTTCAAGTAAATCACGACTGAAAAGAAGGCAGTCACTTTACAACAAACAATGTCTTATGTGTCGCACCAAACACAGAACATCAAACCATGGCCCAAACATATCACACATTAGTGCAAAAAATACTTGTGCAGATGAGACTGTGAAACAACCATGCAGAATGGCTCCCAACATGAAGCACTACACAAATTTATATTAGAATCTCAATCAGTTATTCCACCAAAATTGTGAACATCCATATAACCTAGAAAGCCACCACACAATTCATTTATTTATAACAAAAACAGTATCACTGAGGGTTTATATTTATTCAGCACACCATCCTTTTCTAACCGAAATAATGTCATTTCTATCCAAATCCTATATAACAACACCCAGCTCAATGTGAAACAAAATGTGCTAGGCACAGTTTAATCCTGACAAGATTTTAGCTAATAAGAACTATTTCAAAAGACTTGAGTAAAGCTTCCGAAATTATTTCCTTTTGCAGTCAGACATATTCTAGGCGCAGGAGCAGATCTGGAGAGCGGCGAGAGTTCATACCTGTGTGTCGGCCACGGGAACTTAGCGATTTTCCCGAACAACCGGACGGGCTAACTGCCATGCCATCTCGCCTGGTCCACGGCGATGAACCATTTAGCAACCGTACCTACCGCTCATTTTAAGAGCATGCAGGTCCACTTCCCGGTTGTTCACAGGGTTTCAAAGTGATAGTAAAAAAGGAACAAGGATCAATGAGTTTTTTTGGAAGGGTAGGAGTCATTAACATTTACCGCATAAACAAGTAAAGAACATCTATTACATACATTTTATATTGACAATTATACGAGGAAACAAAATGTACACCATTTGTCCGTTGTATCCAAACTGCATATGTGAATGAGAGATTGATATCGGAATAGCGGTAAAGCTATTATAACAAAAATATTAATACATTATCTCACTACATTTAATAAATGAAAACATTTAACAGAATCACTGTAGTATGTTCAAGTCTGGCAAAGAATATACAGCAACTAAAAGCTGTATTGAAACTTAAATGACTGCATTTTGATATTCTACAGGAAATTACCCTACCATTTTAGACAATAAACAACATTCAAGACAAGGTTAAATCTTATCCAGACCAATAATCACTTGTTCCAGCATAAAATAGTGACAGCTACAAAAAAAGACCTTCATGTCACAATATTCGGTTACGTTGCAGCCTGTCAGAGTAGTCTTTTTCTCCACTACAGCGTCGCGTCACGTCGCCGAGCTTCGCGTCGCGCCGCAACACTACAGACGCCCGAGACTGGGAGTCCGCTACACCACCACGCCACGCAGCGACTCTAGTCGCCTGTCTTCACATTCGCCCCGGCCAACGCTTCCCGTACACAAACGCATGTTTCACCGGCCCGATGCAACCGACGGGCTATATACGGTGTCGGACGGGCGGACGATTGCGTCTTAATACGGTGCATAGCGGCGCGGGGAGACGGTTCCATTCACTCCCGGTCTAACACAAAATAAAGGCACAATTAGCTTACCGTAGCAATAACCGGGAAACAATAGTACACATTATAATACAATACTTCTGAAGTACAAATACATGCTATAGATGAATAGAAAATATTTTCCAAATATACACATTGTCGGATCAATGCCAATAACCAACAAGATACTTTCATGAAAACCAGATTCTATTAAATATCTCACTGCAAAAAGAATGGAAAAGTTTCGGTAAACGATTATTTCACGTCGCTTTGAGTTTCTTTAATCTCAGATATTAAACAGAGCACAACTTCCAAAACGCGGATTGGAATATTTCATGAAAGTTAACCCAGTCACATTAGAAGCAATGACCCTCACAAGTGCGTAAGAAATACTGAAAGCTTTGATAAACAGATCCATTGATTACTAAACTACAAATTTCACAGGATGTTCTAACCGAGTACCCACACCTCAAAACCTATCACTGAGTCCAAGATTAACCCAACTAGTAACTATGAAAATAGCTGACATTCTACAAAATTTTAGAGAAAGCAAGCACTACCGAACCAAGTTTCCAGAATTTTAATGTGCCAATTTGAAGGTCCCAAACAAAGTAAGTGCCATTACTTCAAAGAAATTATTCAACTATCAGTGTACACCCCTGCCACATAAGAAGGAAGATTCTTCATTGAGTTCACACACAGACTAGAATTAGTATGAAAGCAGTGCATATCACAACTTTTGATGCCCAGATGAAGTGCCAGTGTTTCTTGAAAGCACAATTCTGAAGTGATCTCCTTTATTCCAGGAAGTGTTAGTCCATGAAATGAGTAAAGAGAATCAGCAATCCTTACCTGTATCTGGTAGTGGGGGTGGAAGTGGCAGTAGGTGAACGTCGGCTGAAGATTGAGTAATCGCCACCAGAGCGATCAAACACAGGTGAATCTCTCATAGTAGTGGCAGGGCCACGCAAGCCCATTGGCATGGGAGGCATTGGCTCTCGGGGACGTGGAGGTGGCATGGGGTGGGGTGGGAGGAACTCCCGCCCTCTAAGTGTCGGTCCCATATCACGTGGAGGTGGAATAGGGGGGAAACGACGAGGTTCTCCATACGACTCACGGGGTCCATCGTCAAAGCGGTTGCGGTCAAAAAAGTTTGTCTCCTGAAACAGCACCAATCACCATCATTCACATCAGCCGCAACCCACACACGATATAATGCTGTTGCATTAATTTACTTACACGCTCTCCAAAACGACCCATCATACGATCACGAAGGAAAGGTGGAGGCGGTGGTGGTGGGTAAGGCATCCGTCCAAACATAGGTTCTCTGAAACCATTCCTATCAGGTCCTCCTGCCCCCAAACCAGCCTTTGGACATTCCTTTGACCAATGTCCTCCTCTCCCACATCTGAAAAAAATCATGAAGTGTCAAAAACATTTCATTTCAAATATCTTACCATTTGTAGTTTGATTCTCAAACCTGTAGCATTGTTCTGGATCACCCATGCCAGGTCGTTGGCGAACTCTACTTGTAGAAAGCTGCACCTTCATTGGTTGCCCATCAATCATGTAACCATTCAGATCTTTGATCGCTTGATCAATGTTGTCTGTTGACTCAATGTGCTGTAAGAAAAAAAAATGTAAATAAAATGTTTATAGTGCATTACCTAAAAAGGAATACATTTTCTATGACACTCACCACAAATCCATAATTTTTGATAATGTCACACTCAAAAACTGTGCCATACTTCTGAAACAAAGCTCTCACTTGAGGAGCTTTTGTATTATCCGACAAATTTCCAACAAATACTTTTGTAGTTGGTGTCTGAGGGCCTTTGCGGCTTGTTGCTGCCTCAACTTTTATGACCTGTCCATGCACAAGATAGCCACTCAAGTTTTGAATAGCATCTCTGCCCTGTTCCTCATTTTCCATATGCTGCAAAATAATAATAATAATAATAATAATAATAATAATAATAAAATGTTTTGAATGCTTGCTAGAGAAGTTTTTAAATGCTTTCTAATTTAATTTTCTTTTTGTACTTGCTACCAAATCAAAATTTGAATTATTCACTTCCAAATTTAAGATAAAATAGGATTCGTTATCATGCTAACATGCTTGCTTGTTTAGTATCAGAATACATCCAAGTATCATCACTTCAGCAAATTTAACTGAAGGGATCAGAAACACACTAAGAATTCCATGTTTACTTACCACAAACCCATAGTTTTTGACAAGATCACATTCAATGACTTTACCATACTTCTCAAATAGAGGCTTGATATCATCATTAGTAGTTTTAGTGGCTAAATTGCCCACAAATATTTTAAATGTGCCAGTCATCTCTGCCCCAGATGAATTTTCTGCCCTACAACATTCCACATCCACACAGGAAAAATTTACAAACGTAGTTCATTATTACTTTACCTTCTAATTTTACAATATAAACTACGTAAAATTAAATACTTAAGCGTCACAAATTACACGAGTAATAACCAGCCCGGTATATATTTCACCAAGTAATAAGCAATGCTTTATTTACCACGAATTCAAACACTTCAGATTACTTTTTCCAACGTGCACGAGTAAAAAATATTACACTATATGAAAATTGTTAATCTTTTACCTACAATTAATCTTTCTAAAAAAAAAATACGGCAATACTTTGGAACAGTTTCGTTGCGTTGTGAATTGGAAACTCATTACTTACTTACTAAAAAAGAATGTCTTCGTAACTAAGGGGAGCCGTAGAAATCAAATGCGGAAACAGTGACGCATCAAACACGAACAAAAAAAACATATATGCATCACACCGGTTATAAACACACACTTCATCATTAGACTTCGTATTATTCGTAAGCAACGAACTCAACACTAGATTTATATATTATCTGATAATGACCAAGTTATACAATTCTACAAAACCAATATGCCGGTTCAAGCTCTCGAACGTTCCAAAGTTTATACAAACTATGCACAATACTACGCTGAGCATTATTCAAAATATATTTCTACCGCTTACCATCTACTCAGTATTTGAGCAGTTCACCTACCTGAATAGATATAAAACAATGTGTAGCTCCGATAGCGAAAATCTTCAACACGATGTTAATTAAGAACAAACAGCACTCCACGGACTCTCAACTTACCTCGACACGTACAAAATGGCTGACCGAGTCTCCTAGTCGTTTGCTGTAAGCCACATCGACCAATAGCATTCAAGGCTTTGCGTCCAGGATACGTAATCAACCAAAGAGTCTCATGAAAGATATTCCAATTTCCACCATTCTTCTGTGAAATTTTCGCCACTTGTGTCGATTAGAGACTTTATATAAAATCTCGTAGTTAATTTGACGTCTTGATAGCCAGCTAAAATGATTTCATGGCCGAACGAATGTGATTTCATTTTAAAAATAGAATGGCGAAACTATAAGCCTTCATGTTACGCTTTTCTTGGCCTGCATGGAAAGACCTCAACACCAAAATTCTTTGATTTCATGTCTGCTCTGTATTATAGTATCAGTAATTTCGATTAAAAATTCGTTGAAATCCAATTTTCAATTACCTGTTTTAACGAGTCTCGATACATTAAGGAAGAATTAAAACTTCTAGCATATTTACATCTCTCTTTACCAGTACAACAAATTTCAATATCAGGATATTGTTAGCTAAAATTGGGAATTATAAAACAAAAATGCTCTCGAAATCAACGCATGTACAAAAGAGTACTGACAATTTAATTCATACATCTATTGTGTAAATACATTTATGTAGTTAATTGACAACTTATCCTGCTACAATTGTAATTGCCTATAAAACATTTACACACACACATTCAGTCTTGTAACATTGAAAAACTTGTATTTACAAATCAGTAAATGCACACACCTTCACATACTTTATTTAGTAAGTCACTTCTCTAACAATGTGAATTTTAAAAACTAACCCTTGCTCCAACATGAATTAAGGTTTCAGTTATACATTATCTACAAATAAAATTGCAAACTTTTTTTTATTTAAACTGTGTTAAAGCAAAATGGGCTTATTTATTTGGCACTGGCAGTGAATTAAAAACCAATGGTTGGTTTCCCAATATAAAATATAATACAAGAAGAGAATTAATCTACACTAATTTCTCTGATATGTATATAAACATACACAAAAACAATACTTTTTGGCATATTAATGCAAAATTAATGTCAGTGTGATACATCACAATATAATTTTTTTTTGTAACAAAACATTAATACAGTTCAATATGAAGTCCTAAAAAATTACTATACTATTTCCTTCAGTCCAAATCTTTCTTCACTACCATCAGTAATTACATTTATTACAAAGGAAGCAACTCAACAGAATAGTAAACTCCTCAAGAAATCATGATTATGCTATAAGAATACAGAAATAAAGTCTTACATCATAAATTATATTAGGAGAATAAAAAATCAAGTATCAGAAGAGGTTGATATGTTTCACATTATTTACTAGAAGGTTACTGTGAAGATTTTCTTTTAATTTCCACATCCATGAATCACATTAAGGCTTTTTAATGAGCCAAACTTATACAGAATCAGAAAAATGAAAAATTACTACAACTCCCAAATCTTTTACTTTACTTCCTTTGTAACTTTTAAATTAGAGGAGTCTGACAACATTGTAAGTAAATTTAAAAATAATTACAACTAATTGTTATACACAAACTTGAAAATAAACACAGAAATTTACAAATGAAGAAAAAGGCTAAGATATTACACACAATCTAATTATCAGCTAAGCATCTTAAAAAAATTAAACATTATTCAGCAGTTATAACATTAGAAAACTGATAAATTAATTTTATAAATATACCAAGACATATAGTAAGAGGCAAACATTCAAATGATACAGATATTATATTCTGTTATTCTTTTCATAAAAGTAATCAGTATGAATAACATAATAGAAACAACAATTATTAATATTTTAGAATGCATATAACGCAATTTTTGAAGTACTCAACTTCAAAAAAATTATCTTTAATAAAAAACATCGTTCTTTGTAGAGTTTGCACCTCTGAATTTACATAATACTTTTTTCAAATTTTCTCCTTGATTTCCAACCAAAACAAAAATAAGATATATCTTCCATTAGGTGGCAAGTAAAATGCATAAAAAGTTATTAGAAAGGCAAAAGCTTACCCCCTAATAAAACAATAATCCATAAAAATTGCAATTCTTTAGACCACCTCTGCAATTTCTCAAAAAAATATTTCCAATTATTAAAGAAAAATGAAAGAAATGCTATTCAGTTACAACCAAGGAAATGCCAAAATCAGATAAAAACAAGGCAGCAAGAAGACCATCTGAAATATTTAGTGAATTTAATTTTTTTTAAACTCATCGGCAATATCACTTTGTGAAGGAAAATTTTCTAGAATTTTGTGGATTGTTGCACCATTCTTCTGTGTTTCTAAATGCTCAGTCATTTTTATTTCATTTTAAATGTCACCTTTAACCCTCAAATATTACATAAAACAGAATAACAAAAATTTGTAATAGTCAACAGAAATGAACACAGTAGCATTATGGTACCTTAATAACATTGAATACTGTATCCTTACATATATGATAACAAATTTCAATTACTTATTAAAGTCAACATTCTTATCAATTCATGATAAATTATCTTGCTGCTCATTATTAACAATTCTGAAAACAAAGGGCAACACAAGAGTGGCATAATGTGAGAAAATCAAAGGTGTATAATTAAATCAACACTACGAAAGAAATTTTCAGTGGTAATCCCACAGTAGTTATTCAGTTGAACTTAAACACAACAAAAATCAATAATTTGTCAATGTATTGGCTGAATTACTCATGCACTATTTAAAAAAAATTAATTACAAAACAATTTACACTTACAACACTCAAATAAAGCACTGAATCAGTGTATTTAACACTCTACACAGAGCATAAGTTGGATGTGGAAGCATTTCAAAGAAGGTGAAGGACAGGAGTTGCAGGCATTTTCAATTACAGATAACCAGCTCTGTGCACGACCCTTAATCGACCTGTAAACGACCCTTAATCTTCACAGAGCATCCTACTGCAGAGGAAAATCTACTGACGTCTAGGTATGAAATCCCATAAATAGAAGTGAAAGGAATATTTCTCAAGATACACCTGCATTGAAAGGTTCAATGTAACCACGAGAGAGAATAGTTAACTGAAATAATTTGTGTCTTGTCCCTTATTCCGTAAGGCAACTCAGCACTTGGGTTGTCTCCGCATTGATTTCAATACACTTTAGGCACAAAATGAAGCCTCAAAATACAAATCAAGAACTGAAGCCCCTGAGACTCCCCCCCTCACTATATTTGTTTCTGGCATGGCAAAGACTCAGTAAGGACTTCAGCCTTCAACTTTCAAAACAGACTCGGAATTTAGGAAGAAAATCTTCAATAAAAAAATATGCTAGATTCTATTTTTCCATGGGTAGACAGTGTATCTTCGGTTCCCTCACACTATGCCACTCACAAACATCAAGAAAAGCTAATACCAGTCCCTTTGTAAATCAAATAATGAAGTTCAGCTTCTTTTGCTAAGCAAAATAGGCACAACACTCAATCAATAAAATAATTATTTGCATTAATGTGTTCCATTTTACTCTACATAAAACAAAAGGTCTTTCAGTCATTAAAGATGATAGGAGGAGAAGATGTCCAAAGGTATAATAAGGTAAGATTTCATCCACTGATAATCAAATTGCTTAACGTTCGAAACACAGTATCTTTTTTGCAAGACTGACAATACCAAATTCCTGGTATGTGAAGACACAATTTAAACTTCAAAAATTTGTTTAGTTATGATGCAGGTGCGACAAGAACTTTTCCAGTTGCACCTCAAAATCCCAATGCCAAATTTCCTACAAAATAAAATTATTTAGATTGTTTATCTTTATACTTTCATTTTCCAGATAGCCACATTTTTTTACTTAAGTCACAAAGAAAAATAATTCAGTGAAATATTATAAAGATCCACAATTCTGCCTATGCGCAAAAAATACTTTTCAAACTATCTTGTGTAATATTGCACCAACCACATGCATATACAAAAATAAAAATAAATACATTAAATATTTAAAACTCAGAGCTGATGATAATCACAATTTTTCCATTACTTTGCTCAATCAATTCTGCAGCACCATTAACAAGTTCAAAACAACAATGCACCTGCACAGCTAACTGACCAATATGCAAGGTGATTTGTCTGTTGATCAGCTGATTCTCTTAAAGGGCTTCATCTATATAAATAAAATTAGTGTGTCTGCTTGTGATCTCAAAATAACTGCCTTTGTGTAATCTCATATGCTTGTTTAGGTGATAGAAAAAACAATCTAATAGTTTTTACGATTTCTATCTGTCCGGTGTTAACTCTGGAATGGCTGAACAGATTTTGATACAGTTTTCAATGATGTGTTTTGTCTGGCATAACTTAGGCTACTTCTTTCCTCCAACTTATTATTTTCTCATATATAAAGAAGGTTTATTCATATATATGAAAGTTTTTTTCTTCTTACAAATCTACAACTTTATTCCAATATTAAGGAAATTTTGTACACATGACCTTCAAAATAAGAGAAAAGTTACTGCCTGTTACTGAGATTTCATAAAAATTACTCCCAACCCCCTATCCTAATCCTTTGGACAATATTTAAACGTGCCCTCATTCCATTGTTTATAAATATCTCAAAAACAGTAAGTAAATTTATCAAAATTAATTGAAGTTTCTGACAGCCCATAAAATATCCTACTAAATGCATTTTGATTCATTCCAATAGCGCAATTAGGTTCAGAGTAATTGAAGGTCAAAATTGTTACTAATATTTGCCTGGAGTACAAAACAATGCATCTGTTTACAGTTGCCCAGAGCAACGATGGTGGTAGCACTGATGATCGTAACAAACTTGGAGGGCGGGGGAGGAGCAATGTGGACCAGGCGAGGCAGGATGAATAGGATTAATAAGTACCCAGCAACACAGGATACTTCAGCTGGTGAATAATAATTTGGTGGACAGTAATACTGCCAGTGTAGGCATGAAGAGCAAATTTTCTGAACGGTTAAAAAATAATACAAAAGCATACACCTTGAAGAGTAGCTCTGGCAAGGCACTCAGAAGCGTAATAAATAAACAATCTATCCATGAGCTTGGCTGAACAGCTTGCTAAAGCAATGTTACAAATATAACTGCACATACATTTCCACCAAGAGCAACCTTTTGCACTAGTGAAGGTAATACTCATCAACCAGCCAGTCCTTGTACACTAGTTGACAGTGCAGAATAATAAAATAATGACACTGAGATTCCCTCATCAGGCTATTTAATAAATAAATGTCTAAAGAGCACTTTAAAATGCACTTCTAAAAAGTTTCATCATTCATAACTGTTGCAATGTTTCACCTCATAGGTTTCAAAAAAACACTTGCACATTCACAAATAAATTTCACTTGCTTCTTGCACTGCTGGATGTGTTATTATTCATGACCCTTTCTACGAAGTTAGTAATCGCGTGAATCAGTGGAACAATTTGGTATAACATTGGATCCTGGAACCAAAGTTTCGTAAGTTTTGTTAAGGCGATTCTTCTTCCAAACTTGGGATCCACTTAAGGTTTTGTAAGATCCTGATCTTACAAAACTCAGACAAGGTATGATGAATTTCAGGAAAAGCACAGAACTGAATGAACTTTCACACAGAACGAATAGTCCTGGTCTTTGAAATAACAAAGCAGGTAAATAAACCTGAATTAATGAAGGACTTGAATATCTGAATGTGGTTGGATAAAGCAAGCACATACAAACAGTGATGACAAAACAATGACTGAGAGAAATATTTTTGCTTGGGGGGCGATGTTAAATCAGTAAACATGTGTTTTCCAAAAATTTCTTTAACCTCAATGTGAATCAGCCCTAAAGATTATGATATGGATGAACTTAATGTTCAGCTTTGTTATGCTGGCGTTAGAAAACAGGTTTGTAAGGAGACATGCTAAGGAGACAGAAGTTTGAAACAAACTCTTTTAAGTTCATTAAATTTACCTAAAGTGCTTTACAATCTTGGTCTGAAGTTCTTACTTTGTGGAAAACTGTACACATTGCCAAACTAAAACGAAAGCTTTACGCCAATTAATTTAATTAGAAAAGTTTGTTTCAATTCACCTCCTATCAGCATATCATGTTTATCCATACTATAATCAGTAGGACCATCACATGTCACTTTAAATTAGCTCTAATTCTCCAAAAAATCCAACTCTGTTGAATACTTTACAAGAAAGTATTAAAACACAATGCCAAAGAAGTATTATGTAGGATCACCAAAAAATAACCAAGGTGAAAACAGTGCTAAAAGAATCTAACACTTAACTGCACAACAGTGAGCTGTGCAACAAACAATAGTTAGCTGCACAACTAAATATGATTCTTGATTTATGAAACTGAAGTATCTCTGACAGAATAGTCAGCACCTCGTCTCTTTTTTAACAGAGATTTACAGATAATTCATAGCTTCTTCTATCACACACTGAATGGAGTTCAAGAGGCATGTCCAGCATGTCATACACCTGGTTCCTCCATTCCTATTTGCCGAAGTTACAAAAAATTACGCAAGAAACTACCGGTTGATTTCTCAACACACCCTGCTGAAACATTCACAGCCTGTCCTACAAACTCACAATTTTTAAAATAGTAAATACAGAGTCCATTACACAATTTTCACTGTGCTATCTGCATCCAACTTGCAAAGAGACTTCTTCACACGCAAAGCAGTCAATCTCACGGCAGGATGTGGATGCCAACATTCTTGCATGAGTTTCGACAATGATTGTGTTACCTACAAAAGAGAAATGCATATTAGACCAAACATTCAATAAAATGAAGAAGAAAAAAACTTAGAAGGGAACTAGCAAACTCAAATGTCTGACGGAATTCCTACATAACTACTTATTAACAATATTCTGAAAATTGTATACCTCATAAGATATTTAAAAATTTGTATATGATAAATTTTATATTACACATTACAAAATTCACAAAATTATATTTGTAGTTTTATTATTTATTTGTCATGCAACAAAAACTTAAGTGTCTTCATTCTTTTCACAAAAATTCCTTCCGTTACCACAAGACCACATTACTTATTCAACACCCCTTCCTTCAGTAAATGGAGTTTCGGGAGAGAACTACCCAAGGCCAGAAAAATAATTAGTTATGGTATTCAATTATTAATTTGGTGGTCATTTCAACTGTAGATTTTTCTGATTTATCTACTATTACAAACAATTTTGATATTTCATATGATAGAATATTTGTAATCATTATCCTAGAGTTAATTTGGATTATTTCGACTTTTCATGCCAACTTTCCCTAGGAAACGTCCTCTATTTGTTGGTGTTTGATTACTCTATTTGCTTGACGTATTTGATATGCTTTTACAAATTCATTTGTATTATGGTATTCTTCAAAATATTTTGTTTCATTTTTCTCTCTCTTCTTCTATTTATTGAAATATCCTGATGATTACAGATAGTAAATTTATTTCTTGAGAAAAGAATACATATGATCATCCTTCAACAAAAAATTTTCCAAAATTCTTGTTGGATTTATTGATATTTCAGGTGCACACAGTTCTTCATATAAATTTTCACATACTATTATTTTGGTGTGTTTTGCTTTCCACAGTTTCCTTTAGTACAGAATTTATTTTGTAAGTTTACATTTACATAGATTTTCTCAAGTGGATTATTGTTAACAGTGTGACATACACATATTCCCCAAAAGCAGGTTGTAATTTAGGGTTGAAATTATTTCTTACTCATTAGTAAGCACAAAATTCAAAGTTGTTCTTTTGTCTTTCAAGACAATTTATTGTTTTCTCACCATTTACAAAACTTGATCTAGGAACTTGACATGTAAGCAGAAATTTTACTGATACATTCAAATCCCTTCTAATAACTGATTTTCATTCTTGCAGTTAAGCATCAGGACTATATCAATCTCAATGGAGTTTTTAGTGAAAATCATGAAGCACCTTCCTCTTCTATTTGCCTTATCATTTTGTAAGACAGTTCCATCATTATGTAGGTATAACGAAAGAATATGAAAAATATTTAACCACATCTTTCTTAGTATTATAGCATTTGCTTTTAAACTATCAACTCATTTAAAAATTAAATTCAGTTTACTCAATAATAAACTAATGTTTCTGTACAATATTGATATCTTGTTTGAGGTAATGATTCCTTGGTTGAGATTTCAAGTTTAGCAGTTTGTGGCAATTTTGGGAATCACTCTAACCTGTGAATGTTCATGTTTTTATTGTTTATTCTTTTTCAGAAAGAAATTTCTTTAACTGATTAAATGCTCTCTTTGCTTATGTGTAAATGAATTGAAAGATATGTGTAATTTCTTAAGTTTATTTTACACGGAGCTTCTACAACATTTTCGAACTTTTTCTCAAACTTAGTCCAAAATTTTTTGCCTAAATAGAGCAAAGAGTGCTTAAAATATGCTTAGCGTCTACTAATCATTAAATCCTCTTAATTTTCAAAAATTGCCATAAGTTCAAATTATATAGACCTATTCCTACTGCCACATTATTAACACAGATGTTTTCTTGCTGAAATTTAAAATTTAATGACAAATTTTAAATCATTTCATTACACTTTTTCTAATAATAATTTTCTTGTAGTTTCTATATGAATAAAACAACACAGGGGGGAAAAAATTAAAAAGCCTCTGAAGAAATTAAATAACTTGCTAGGGAAAGCAATCATGTTACAAATACATTTGACCACTTTACCAATATTGCAGATCACTAGCTAAAAAAAAAAAAAAAAATTAATTTGAGAGGAAAATTGGTTTCAAGACTGATATCAATGCAGGTTTTGGGGACGCCTGACATTTTTTCAAAACCATGAGTCCATCTACAAACATTCACACTCCAAATCTGCAAACATAGTTAGTTTGTTTGAACCTACTCTGTTATTTGTGTGATTTAACTTCAATATCCATGAATTTCTTGTCTTTCTTTACAAATTTACTCAATTTTAAAATCAATATCCCCCCCTCTACCCCCGTGATTACAGATGCAGTCTTGTCATTGTTACCTCATTATGATCATTGACACTCAAAAGATTGAATGTGAAGTTTAATATGGAAACATATTGCAGACGGAATGAGGAACAAAATGTGTTAGTATCTTTCGAGTGTTGGTGACATGAAGATTCATAAACAGGGGGTTGGAGATGTCAGGTGTAGAATAGTTTGAATGGCACACAGCCCTTTCAAGAGATAGCTAACCTAAATGTTAAAGGCACTGTTAAAAGAAACGTCAAAACGTCAATTCCTTGGTTCTCCTCGCTAACTCTAAAAACGGTAAGTCTTCGCTCAATGCCCGGAAAACATTAAAGTCACCTCTAATTTTCTAAGAAATTGGAGGAAATTCCATCATAATATCATAGGTTATGGGTTATTAAAAGGCAACTTTCCAGAAATTTCAATCAGGAAACAGCTCATATCTCAAAGAAGGGTCAAAAAACTAACCAAAACTCAAAAATCCAGCAATTGATTTCCTGAGGAGTCACTTTGTCTGTGAATATTCTCTGATCTGTTTACTACTCCATACCTAGTACCCATGCTCCACCTCTGCATATGGCAGCACCTCACCAAGTGTTACACCAGATAACACAGAGAGAGAGGATTTAGGAGGCCATTTGTCCACACAGACATTCATTTTCTCATATTCCTTGTTTTTAAAACTTGCGATTATTTACTGAATTGAAAAATGCATATCAATCAATATGATGTAGCTGAACCCAAGCAAGTACACATGGATAGTAATAAAACTAAAAACTAGTGGAACTTCAAAAGCACACACTTTCTTGCATAACTTCTATAGTAGCAATTTTTGAAGAGATCAACGAAAATGAGACCTGTGCCATTCTTTTACATGTCCGTTGTTCTATTTATTCATGTAAAAAAAATTTGGAGTGGTTATTGCGAATGTTTTTTTTATAAATTGCATAAATTTAAAGCACAAATTACACAAACCTATTTTTTTTATTTTTTCAAAATATTGTACATGACCTTTTTTGAAGGGCTGATTTTAAATAATAAACTTTAAGACAACAAAGTTTGAAAAAACAGATTTTGATCAACTCAGCAGATCCCATTGTAATACGGGAGCTTTCGGTTTGTCTTTCTTAACCTTTGAGTAGGTTATTTACATCAATACTACGGTTTTTGTTTTATGAGGATGTCACTGAGCGTTGCAGGTTTAGCGAAAATAATATGCAACAAAATTATTTACAAGCATTTGCATCCTGTGTATTAAATGGACTTTAATTAAGTGGTTCTTTTTACACAAGAAAATAAGAAACAACACTTAAAATTGAAGTTAAAAGTAGAAAATAATATTTTTCTTTCAATAATTTGATTTATGAAATTTGTACCAACACTGAAAAAGAAGTGCTACTTTGCACTTTTGGCACATGATTCTTGTGCATTGGTGAGACAGACTGCATTTTCTTGTTAACAATCTATTCTAATGTGGTTTACTTCAGAATCAGTTCTTACATCCGGTTCACTCAACCTTTGAAGGGGCTATGACACGGGAGACTTAATGCTCATTTCCATAATACAAACCACAGTAAACTTAGGCAATCACCTTCGAAAGTCGTATTATACTTCTTTTGCATTCAAAGAATGTTAGTCATTTTTAGTGTCCTCATCTCTTTTACCAGGTTGAGATGAAAGTAGCCTTCATCTTCAACCCAACCCCCAACGAGATTGAGTTTTTTTTCTTGTAATATTTCCTGCCTGAAGAGTCAAGATTGCAATGCTGTTTTCTAAACTATTTCTCGGCGGTTGGTGTGACAGTTAGCGTACCGGACTGTTATACTCAAGCTCGCGGGTTCAAACACGATCAAAGCCGTGGAGTTTTAGGGCGACGAAAGCCTTCGTACGCCTTCCTTCGGAGGGGAAGTAAAGCCAGCTGTCCCATGTTAGTAGATTTACTTGCATGTAAAAGATCCTCAAGCCTAAATGACGCCTCTGAGCTAAATTCAAATCGCCTGTTTCTCACCCAAGACATACCTCCTTTCTCTGCTAGTTGATGAAAGGAGCGTAGCAAAATTTGCGTGGTCAGACGGAAGAGCGGGCCTGATGGCCCGAGTCTCGCCACGTAAAATAAGTCAAATTCAATTCAATTCAATTTAATTTCTTCACATGTTACATTTGATTGATAAATGTTGCCTGCACCAGAATCATCTTTCATTGTTCTGTCAACTTAAACAACTAAGTTCAGAAGTAAAATTATCATCTTGGTAATACTTATCTATCATTTCTAAACTCTCATGCACTTCTACACTGCAAACGATAAAAATAAAAGTGTAAGAATGTGTGCCAACCAAGATCAAGTCTTAGCATTGATTCTACATCAAACAAGCTCATCTCTCAGTGTCACTTGGGAGGTGACACCCTGGATTTGCAGCCTGTAAAATCTATGTCCTCAAAAATTAATTATCAAATGACAATTACAAATGAATTCTTTGCAGTTTTGAAATTGCAATAAACAAGTTATTGTTTATTAGTACTTTCTGTATCTTCCAATTTTTGTATGAAGAGCAAAAGTGCACAATATGCCAAAATTACTGCAAGATATCTTGAAAAAACTAAAACAACAATTCCCAGTAGCAGTAGTGCCAAATTTCCATATCAGTATGTTCAAAAAAAGTCAAAACATGAGTTTGGTGACACCAAATTACTGAAATTCGTAAAGGACTATTTATGGAAATTATCAAAGATGAGTCGCCTGCAGGTGACACCAGGAAC